CAGAAAAAAGTGGGCTTTTGGTAGTTTCTACACCGTGACTTAGGTAGTTTCTACACCGTGACTTTCTCACGTTGCTTTCGGCTACGTTTTGATTTGACTTTCTCACGTTGCTTTCGGCTATGTTTTGATTTGGTTTGTGGAATTTTTTTGATCACTAATGGAATTTTTAAAAAATAAATAAATTCAAAGCAGTTGGTGTTGACTAATTATAATTTTCTACTTATATATAAACTTATAAACAAAATATTATATTCTAAACGTAAATAAACAAAAATATAACATTTCATAACATAAACTTTTATATTTTAAAAAACAACAGAAATAAAAATATAATTTTTCATAGCATAATCAAGCAAGGACATATCCAAGATTTGCGAGCGCGGAGCAATATTAATAGAGCTACTCAACCAAAAAAATATCTTATTAATATTATCAAAATATAATTTATTTAATATAAATTATTAAATATAAAATAGTAATATTAAATATGTTTTCATAATATACATAATAATTCATTAAGAAGGTTTATATTCATTTGATTGACTGATCTAATGGCTACAAATGCACATTATTGTTTTTCAACGAACATTAATATAACATATTAAATAACAAGATCATAAATATTAAATATATTTTTGTAATATAAAGAATTTGATAAAATCTTAACATGAAAAATTTTAATATATAAAAAGTATTACAATAATAGATATACTTTTATAATAATAAATAATAAATTATTTCTATTGTTTAGGTTAATTAGATGTACAATTATATCTACTAAATCTAGTTTTCAAAAACACATACTTTATATGTGCTCATATAAAGTAGTGCACTTTATATATCAACATGCTGCACGTTATAAAACACCACATTACATTTTATAAAACAACACGTTATACTTTATCAACATGCTCTACAATTAACGTCAACAGCTCCCTTGAAAATACCACATAACATAACTTTAAGAAACATATATGCATCATACTTTAACATCAATAACATCATTTATACACAAAAACACAAGCATGTTAACGTACCAAAATTACAGTAGTACACTCTATACATCAACACGTTGCACTTTATCACGACTATCAGATTGCACAATAAAGATCGAAACCGACCGAAATAAAAAATTTTCAACCAAAAATAATATAAAAATAATAAATAAATTATTAACATAAATATAATTTTAATATAATAGGATAATTCTGTTAACCGAACCGAATAAACGAATTACTTTCATTTTCAATTTGATTTGGGACAGAAGATCGGTTGGTTCAATCTGCACAATACAGACCGACACCGTGCACTATAGTGATGTACGAATTGTACCTTAATAATTGTGAGATTGCACCGTATATTTCGTTTACATATATATAATTTTTTTAATTAAAAATAAATATAAAATGTAAGAATAAAAATTAAATACCAATCATGTTCTTCTATAATATAAATAATATAGTTTATGTCGGCTATTTCGATTATTTATGTTAACCGAAAAATTAAACCGATTATGTCAAAACCAAACTTTTCATTTCGAATTCTAAAATTTCGGTTCAATTATCCATTTTTTCATTAAAAAAATTGATTATGCCAAATAGTTTTTGACGTTTTATTTGATTTTATTTAGATATCAAAAAGACTATTATTATTATTATTACTATTATGTAAAAATATTATTATTTCCAGCCTGTGTTTTTTAATAAATTATAAATTTGACCCAAGGACTAAATGTGGATATAAATAATTTTTTTTAATTGCAAGAAGTCCCTAAGACTTATCTAATTTTTTAAATTAAACCCCCTCAATACACAACCTCCGTTGTCACCATTCTCACTCCCTTCTCGACGGCTGTTGCTTCTTGCCGGCTGCCACCTCTCGTCGGCTGCCACCTCTCGTCGGCCCTATCCTGACCTTCCTTCCTCTGAAATACCATCCCCGAGTCATTCCACTGCAACCATTAAAAAAAAAGTCGGCCATTTTTCCACTTGGTTGACGCCAGCGACGAGCACAAGACGGCTCACTGTGGCTGCGACGGAACCACTCTCGTCGGCCGGCACACTTTGTGTGGTCATGCATGTGTGTGAGATGCGTATCTGGTCTGAGAAAACGAGACGCTAGTGTCGGCTGTTGTTTGTCCCATTTTTGTGTCTTTATTTCATGTTTATTTTCTTTTTGTTTTCCCCCATTTGTAGGATTTTCGTAGTTTATTTGGTCCATTTCGTTCGTTTTGTGTTTTTGTCTTTAGTTTATATTTTTGTATCTTTTTGCCGTGTTTTGCTTCGTGTTTTTCTGTACTTGTGTTTTCAGGAGGTAGGTTGTGTCGGTCGAGGATGGAACTGCTTGAGCCGAGACCGTGGTATCGAGAATTCCCATTGGCCGAGCCAAGAAAACGACGAAGAGGACCGAAAAACGGACAGAAACAATGCGCAGAATGAGTCGCGACTCGCGAGTCGTCTCGCGACTCGCGAGTTGTGTCGCGACTCGCGAGTGTGTCGCGCCTCGCGGGGAAAACTGAGGATAAAGGAGATTTCCGAAGAACGAGTCGCGACTCGCGAGTCAATCTCGCGACTCGCGAGATGAAGTCGCGACTGGCGAGTCAGGTCGCGACCAAGCCCCTGAATTTAAAGAAGAAGACGACGCGTGACTCGCGAAGAAGTCGCGACTCGCCACTTAACCGGCGCGAATTTCGAGGACGGGATTTTTAGAGCAGAATTTGACCTTAGGGTTCAGGATTCACCATTCCAACTTTGTTTTTACGTTCTCTCTGGAGAAAAAACCATTCCTTTTCTTTCTTTTGCACTTTTGATTGGTTTTGGAGATTGAAAAACTCCTTTTCTTCGCTTTGGATCTGGATTGTTCATTGGATTTGATATTGGATTCTCTATATAAATCGTAAGTTATTTTTCTCAATTTCTTTGTTGATGATGATGGCTTGGGTTTGTGTGAATGTTAATGTTGAATTCCATATGAGTAGCTAAATCCACTCGCTAGGGATAGGGGATGATTGATTAGGTTCGTTATAATTGAGTGCTCTTGATTGTTCATGTCTATTCGAGTTGTGTGAATCATAGGGTTAGGAGATTGATCACCTTTCTAGCCTAGATAATCAACGTGTAGAACCGAGAGGGGAGACGTTGGTAGAATTAGGCTCGTTTAGAATAGATTTGTTCGGAAGCGTATAATCTATGTGTTGTAGGAATTGATAGTTGATCGTTCACATTCACTCTCTTGTTACGAAGAGTTATTGAGAGTGAACCTCTGAACGTGAAACGAATCAAGACCTTTAACCGAGCAATCAATTGCCGGTGATTGTGTTAGAACCGAAAGCAATTATCCCCGATTCCCTAGCTCTTTAAATTCTCAATTAATTCGTTACTGTTCATTTCGTGCTTTATTTAATTTAAAGTTGGTAGTTGATAATCGAAACCCAAATCATTGAATTAGATTGTTTAGGATTTTTATCTTCTTTTGTGATTGAATAATCGAACAATTATATCCGGCTAACCTTCCTTGCGATACGACCCGGGGAACAAATCTTTCGATTCTACTCCGGTTAAAATACTGACAACAGCTGTGGCGGAATGCTGAGGAGGATCTGGTGATGGTGGTATGGAGACAGGCGGGGGAAAAAATGTTGATGGCTGCGACAAACGTCTGCTACCGGCGGTGGTCATGGTGGTCGTCGGAGGACTCTGTGTGTGCGTGTGGACTGGTGGACATCTGTGGCCGGAATGCGGAGACGACAAGGCAGGCTGGTGCGGATGGCGGAGGCGAAGTGACAGTGGCGCCGACAACTGTGTGTATGCGTGTGAGATCTTTGTGTGTTGCGTGTGTATGTGTGTGTGTGTGTGTGTGTGAGAGAGAGAGAGAGAGAGAGAGAGAGAGAGAGAGAGAGAGAGAGAGAGAGAGAGAGAGAGAGAGAGAGAGAGAGAGAGAGAGAGAGAGAGAGAGAGAGAGAGAGAGAGAGAGAGAGAGAGAGAGAGAGAGAGAGAGAGAGAGAGAGAGAGAGAGAGAGAGAGAGAGAGAGAGAGAGAGAGAGAGAGAGAGAGAGAGAGAGAGAGAGAGAGAGAGAGAGAGAGAGAGAGAGAGAGAGAGAGAGAGAGAGAGAGAGAGAGAGAGAGAGAGAGAGAGAGAGAGAGAGAGAGAGAGAGAGAGAGAGAGAGAGAGAGAGAGAGAGAGAGAGAGAGAGAGAGAGAGAGAGAGAGAGAGAGAGAGAGAGAGAGAGAGAGAGAGAGAGAGAGAGAGAGAGAGAGAGAGAGAGAGAGAGAGAGAGAGAGAGAGAGAGAGAGAGAGAGAGAGAGAGAGAGAGAGAGAGAGAGAGAGAGAGAGGTAGAGAGGAGAGAGGGATCATGTGAGAGTTTTATGAGTGGGGCCCTCTTATTTTGTTTTTTGGTGAAATTACCCCACTGCCTTTACAGTTATTTATTTGTCCATGAAGTGGTACTATAATTACAATTTTGCCAATGCATATTTGTAACTCAGTTTTGACTTCATCTTGTTCATTGATATAATTGATCCAATGCTCCATAATCATTCTTATTTCTTCCATTATCTACCATTTTCATACGATCCCTTCTCTCTCTCTCTCTCTCTCTCTATATATATATATATACAGGGTTGCGCTCCTGTGAGAATGATGCTCAATCAAAGAAATGAGAATTAATATTAGCCATTATATTAGATGATCCGACGGTAACAAAAAAATCAGTATTTATATATTCATTAAGGGTATTTTGGACATTTATTATCAAACTGTGGGACCCATGCTAATTACCCACTCACATACACCCAATAATTACATCCATGTGGCCACTACCATACACACATACTCTCTCTCTCTCTCTCTCTCTCTCTCTCTCTCTCACGCACACATACTGCCACTGGACACGCACACACTTTGTACGCACACAAGACACACGCACACACACATTACACACATGCACACACACATTGCCAGCACACATACACACATACATAACCACCACACAACACACACACACACACACACACACACACACACACACACACATACACACACATACCACCGCACACACCTGGGCACAAAATATACACACACATACACAGTAACTCGCAGACGCCGTTAGCCCTCCTACCGGCACACAGCCCGTCGCCGTTGCACATCCACCGGACACAACAAGTGCTGGCGTTCGTTCATCTCATATGTCGTTATCGTCTGCTTGCCAATGCCGACCTCCACACCGTTGTCGTCACCCTAGCGTCGATCCCGCCGGAACTTTTCAACCTTGTATTTTTCCGGTAGTTAAAAACGGCGGACCTGCTCATGAAATCGGCTAGCTTGTCAACACCTCGCGCGACGTCGTACAGCCCGAGAACTCCAGCGTCGCCTCCGTTCTCCGCTTCCTGGGTCACACTAAGAAAGAATGTCTTCTCTTCAAATCTCAAGGCCAACAAAGACCAGAAAGTTAAAAGTAATTGTATAATAAATTGTTGTTTCATGTCTTCATATGTAATAGTTGTTTCATGTTTTCATCTATATATATAGTTGATTCATAATTCACATCTGTTAATCTTGTTAAGTGTGTTCATGTATTTTCAGACTAGAAAGAGGGTGGTTGACCCTATCCCAGCAGTTGGAGTGTCCACTCAAGAAAGCATAAGTAATGTAAGTAGTTTCAGTTTCTTTTATACTAACTATTAATAATCATCTTTACAAATTAACACAAACCAAACTTACTTATTAGGTTACAAACCAAGTTGTCCCTGTTGCTCCCTGTTGCCCCTGTTGCCTCTACTGCAATTGCCCCTGCTCCAACAAAGTGCTTCAAACCTGCTGCTCCACATGCCTCTGCTCTAACAAAGTGGTTTAAATTTGCTGCTCCACCTGCCCTTGCTTTACCTGCCCCTGCTCTACCTGCTCCAACACAGTGGTTCAAAGCTGCCCCAACTCCTTACCAATAATTGCAAATGGGACAGCCCACTAAAGAAGTGGTCATTAGAGGACCAGTACCATTTCTTAGTGGTCATTACATACCAAGTGAGGAGAGCTGCCTAACTGTAAGAGATTCAAGACTAAAGGAGATATTCAAAGATGTGGCCAAAAGTACACCTCCATTAGTAGTCTTTTTCCATCTGTAGATACTACACAGAAGGGAAAAAATGTAAACAAATGTGTGATTTGGTTGTTGGTTGGTTGTGTAAATTGCACATGGTTATGAACTGAATTTGGGAGTTTTTGTTGGTTGATGGGTGTTGGTTTTGGTTTTTGGTTTTGTTATGTGGATGAACGGTTGAAATGTGAATGGTTTTGAATGTCAATGGTTGAGGTTATGGACAAGTTCATTTGGAATTGTTTTTGTTATGGAATTGTATGTGAAGACTTTTGGTTATGGAAATGGCAATTGGTTCTGGATATGGTTTTTATCTTATGGTTATGGAAATGGTTTTTGTTGGTTGATGGATGTAGATCACAATTTTATGGATATTAACTGTATGTGTTTTTGTTATGTGGATGAATGATTTTGGTGTTGATCTTTAGTTTGTTTTGTGTATAGGACATTTAGTGAATGGTTTTGATCATCTGCATAATTAGTTCAGGTTTTCATAATTTGTTCTGTAAATGGTTACAAACATCAACATGCTTAATGGTTATAAACAATAACAAAAAAAACAACATGTACAATAAGATCAATAAGATGAACAAGTTCATTCATAGGTACAACAAAACCAAAACAAAACCAAACTTCATTGGCCAATCCCTTACAACACAGGTACAAAACCAAACTTCATTCATCAAAACCAATCCCTTACAACAAAACCATAAACAAACCAACAACAAAACCATTAAAAAAGTTCATTCATCAAATAATCTACCACACACAGGTACAACAATTCCTTACAACAATCTTCACATTGAACAACATAGGTACAACAATGTGTTCATTCATCAAACAAAACAAACTTTTCATTCATCAAACAGAAACATTAAAAATGATTAACATGCATTGCTGCTAACTAATCCATCATTGAAGAGAGAAAAAAAAATACATCTTTCACCACATGGCAACTTTAAAAATGATGAACAGAACCCATGTTGCAGCAACAAACACTTCGAGCTTCCAGATATTTTGTCGAATTTTGGAAAATTCTTCAACATAAATGTCCTGCGCATGATGAAATTGGAGTTCAACACTCTCCATGATTTTTTTGTTCTCGGCTTCAAGCAATAGCATCTTGTTCCTGAGTTCAATCATTTCATTGGCCAGAATCTGATTGTTCGAGCTATCTGGTTCATCCTCCCATTTAAAGAACTTACAACCCCCATCCTGCCAATTCTTGCAACCATGAAATTTCTTACCAGGATTTGTTGGAGTCTTTGATGTACGTAGTTGAGCTGTCAAACCACAGTAACAAAACAGATTGCCAGGAGACGAGAAGGAAGAAGCTGAAGACATCGTTGATCTCTCTCTCGGTCGACCTCTCTCGTTCATGGAGGAATTAGGGTTTAATTTAGGGATTTGGGGTGGATTGATGATATAAGGAGATATAATTGGTGATGTGGCAAATTTATTTTTCCACCTAACAATATCGAAATTATTATATTAACATGAAGCCGCCACATCAGATAAAAAACATGCCACGTCACGCCACGTCACGCCACGTCAATTTTTTATCCATGGTTCGGATATAAATGGACCAAAAAGGATTAAATGGTCAATTTATAGGACCGAAATTGAAAGTGGTCAATGGTGGGGTAGGATTTTGGACAGTGGTCAAGTTATAGGACCAATTTTGAAATTTTGCCAATAACAATGTGAGCTATAACTATGTCATGGATAAAATTATTTTTGTAATTTTATGAATTATGTCATATCTTTTTCATTCCGTCGAAAATTGATTTTACGGTAGACACTGATGACCTTGCCCTCTAATTGGGTGGCCTTCCATCTGACATGCCACTTGGTAAGTTGAATATAACTAGTTTTGTAATTTTATAATAATTTAATTTTATAGTTAATTTTTTTTTACTAAGTACAATATTTTTACTAAATAATTATAAAATGACAGAAAAAAATATATGTCATGAATAACAATGTTAGCTATAATTATGATATGAATAAAACTATAAATTATGTCATATATGCCATTTTCATTCCGTGGAAAATTGATTTTACGGTATAGACGCTTAGGACCTCCCCCTCGAATTGGGTGGTCCTTCATCTGACATGTCACCAAGTAAGTTTAGTGAAATTGTTTTCGAGACTTGATACTAATTTTATTTTACAGTTAATTTTTTTACTATATTTTTATTAAATAATTATGAAATTACAAAAATAATTACTATATTTTTTTATTAAATAAATATAAAAATAGAAAAAAAAATATGTCATGATTGTAAAATGTTAACTATAATTATGTCATGAATAAAACTCTTTTATAATTTTATAACAATTTAATATTATAGTTAACATTTTTAACTATATTTTATAAAATAAGTCAAAAAATTCCCAAAGAATTGTTATATTTTTCAAATGTGAATATTCGATAATAAATCAGTTAAAAAATTTGGCAGTGCTTTAAAAGTTTTTCAAATAGTCATATTCTTAGGTAAGTTACCTATTAAAATGAATAATTCTGAGGAAATATTGATAATAAATTCATATAATATGATGTTTCCAAAATTATTTTTGATCATCTCAAATGGCAATAGTAAACCAAAAAACAAAAAATAATTAAATTGTTTATTTACATGTAACATGTAAATATCTTATCCTTGAGGTTTTTGCCTGCACAAATTACACGAGAGTCGACGTCCAAAAATCCAGATATTGTTAAAAGGAATAATTCTATGAACAAAACTTTTTAAGCATTGTATAATTGTTGAAATTTATTATCGAATATTCACATTTCCAAATTTTCGTTTGTAATTTTATAATAGTTTAATTAAATTTATATTAAAACATGTCAACTACAGTTATATCATAAATAAATCTATTTTTTCTAATTTAATAATAATTTAATATTAGTAAGAAGCTAAAAGAATAAGTATTAAAAATAACACATCACAAAATAAAAGCAATTAAAAATATTTTCTAATTTTATTTTAATGTACATTGTATCCTTATTAATAATTTAAATTGTTTATAACTAGTTATAATAAATAAATATATATATTCATAATCTTGTATTAGATTTACTTAATAAATATTTATATTAATTAATATATATAATAATTTATATAACAAATTAAAGAAGTGTATAACAATATAAAACATAAGAAAAATTTCAAAACTAGTCCACAGGTTTAGTGTCATGCCACGTGTGATGACGATTACCAGCTTGTCAAGAAAAAATGTCACCTCTGCACTACATGGTTTATCGGGCCTTTCGGACCCGAAACCGCAACAACAGTCATAGTTTTGATTACTTTTTGAAAATTGTGAGACTATTTGTGACTTTTACTATCTTGGAGGACTAAAAATGGCAACCCCTGAACTGTGGGACTACTTTGAATTTTTTCCCNATATATATATATATATATATTAATATTCATAAATTATAAATGATGATTAAATAATATTTATAAATAAGAAATATGGAATCAATATATATTACAATTTACCTATATTAACTTGTTGAAAATGTTATATGAAATTTAAATTGTGCAAAATTATATAAAACATGTCTATTAAAAATTAGTACACGACCGTACGGTGCAAATAACTTATAATAAGTTACATCATATTCATTTCAAAATAGGTGTCATTTTAAAATTTTTATTCCGAAATTCAATTTGACTACAATGTGATTTAAGTAAAAACAAACCATTATACACACACACACACACACACATACACCAAATAATTTGATATGTGCGTGATGCACACACATTTACAAAGAAAAATCGACCATAGTATTATCCAGATTTTTCTTTCATTAATATAGAGTAAAATGCTTAGCAATATGAAAAAAAAATATTGAGATACCATTTACTACCATAAGCGGATATATTGGATCGATATATAATATACCAAATAATGCGATTTCATACTTTATTGATAAAATACAAAAACTAATATTCAATTAAACCACGAAATTAATTGCACAACGTACAACACATTTATTATAGATAAAAATAAAAAAATAACCAAAAAATAGTTATCAAAAAATAATTAAATAGAAACTACCAATAACACAATTATTTTAGAAGTTTATAAGAAATTATAATTAAATAAATCAACCGAATTTACACGATCTGCGTAATTAGGGTATCTTAAAAATGTAATTGTTTACGGTCAAATTATTTCCTTAATTATCCACGATTTGAACAATTACATACACAAAAAATGAATAACATTTATTAAATAATATTTAATAAAAATTATCATTAACACAATTTTTTTAGAACAGTTTTTTACAGCATAATTAATTAATTTTGTCGATATTTCTATAATTGTTGTAATTATTTACAGATTGAATAAATCAGTCAGATTTACACAATTTGCGTAATTAAGGTATACTAAAAATGTATTTTACAAAAGAATTACATGAAAAATATAAAACACTTATCAAATAATAAATTATACAATTTAGTTGACAATTTTTTACCAAATCAAATAATTGATATTGCAGCCAAAATTCTCATATTTGGGTAAATCAGCCAATTCACATAATTATGTAATTAAGGTATCTTAAAAATAAATTTACAATAAGTGATTATTTGAAATATACCATAAATTGTTAAAATAATTTGAGTAATTAAAGTATCTTAAAAATGTATTTTTATATCGCTTAATAATTTCTATAAATAGTGAGCCGCAATTTTCATAACTGATTATTTAAAATATAACATAAATTGCTAAATTAATTTTCCCAAAATAGTAAATACTTTTTTTAGGAAAACAGTTATTATTTAAAAAATAACCAAACATTTATATTAATCATTATATATAAATGATTAATTATACCTACGTGACACTTTCTTGCCGAAAACCGTTACTTACCAGCATTAATCATTTTTTTATACTAATTACATAATCACTAATGAGATCAAAATAGTTTTAATGGGTGAAAATCAGGATAATCTGGTTTTGAAGGGATGTTGACCAATCATGTTAAAATGTCATAAATANTAATAATAATAATAATAATAATAATAATAATAATAATAATAATAATAATAATAATAATAATACTTTTTAAGATAATTGATAGGTTAGGATTTTTCAAATTTCTGAAAACTATATTATCCATTTTATTTTAGGCAATCAATACAGTGATGAAGCTGAATACTTTTATAATGATCATTTTTCCTAACGACAAAATTTTTAAAATGTGATACTATTATCTACTTTATAATTCTAATATTATATACATACATATAATTTATGATAATATAAACATATGTACATGTGCACAGGATGAAATACTATGAAATACTAGTATATACTGAATTCCCATTGCAAACATTTCCATCAAAAAGTTACTATAATACCTTATTCGGATCCTACAGTGAGATTATCCAGTCTTTCTAATCTTTACCTCTCCTAGATCCATTGTGTCTACAAACAAGTTACTAATTAATGTCTTAGGTAAAAAATCTTCAAATCAAACAAATGGAAAACATGAAATGATACATTGGTTACTATCAATAATATATAAATAAAACCATGTTATTCTGCAGCACTCATGACAAAATCTTGGAACAATTGAATGAAGCAGAACACACTTTCATTACCACAAAGCACACCAAATCTAAATTCCAAGCATGCACAAACCCGGAAATGGTGACTGATTACTTATATCAAGGACTGACACATACTCGGATAACAAACATTAATAAACGAAATACATAAAATTATAGTGTAGCAACTTGGACATATAGCGTTACTTCGGAACAAGCAAATCGTGACATAACTTTGTAGCATAAATTGATAATACAACATAAGGCATTAATAGTTTTAGCATTGCGGGTAGGGGGTTTTACAAGTTGCGGCGACTCTTTTGGCACCTTCGGATCTGATGAACTTTTGGAGGACAGGGTTCTTCAAGTACTGGCAGAGACAAGTCTTCTGTTCCTTTAACTTGTCACAACAAGCACTGCTTGGCTTGCTAGTAGATGTTATAGCAGATGCACATGGGCTCAGCTGCATTGCGTTGCAAGTCACAGCTTTTGTCACTTGGACATTTCCTAATATTAGGACAATCAGAATTGCATAAACGGCAAGCCATGTTTTGGTATTCATGTTTGTGTTTTTT